CTGTCTTCAGAATTTTACATGGGATCTTTGAGTACAAAAGGTGGGACTCACTGGTTTTTTATATGCTGACTGCTTGGTGTAGCGGAGAGACAACCTGAATTTTAACATAAAGGGGTGCCTCCCATGCAGATTTGGTCTCTCCACCCACGGCAGGGGGAAACGCAGCATTGGCTGCGTCTGATGTAGTGTGAGTTTTTTACCTCCCTGTAGTGGTTCTGTGTACTGTTATGTATTTTTGATGAATTTTGACTGCTTGGTGTAGTGAAGAGACAACTTGAATTTTAACATAAAGGGGTGCCTCCCAAGCAGATTTGGTCTCTCCACCCACGACAGGGGGGAACGCAGCATTGGCTGTGTCTGATGTAGTGTGACTGAGTTTTACCTCCCTGGAGTGGTTTTGTGTACTGTTATGTGTTTTTGATGAATTTTGACTGCTTGGTGCAGCGGAGAGTCTGAATTTTAACATAAAGGGGTGCCTCCCAAGCAGATTTGGTCTCTCCACCCACAACAGGGAGGAATGCAGTGTTGGCTGCGTCTGATGTAGTGTGACTGAGTTTTACCTCCCTGTAGTGGTTCTGTGTACTGTTCTGTGTTTTTGATGAATTTTGACTGCTTGGTGTAGTAAAGAGACAACTTGAATTTTAACATAAAGGGGTGCCTCCCAAGCAGATTTGGTCTCTTCATCCATACAGGGACGCGAAGGGTGATGTGGCAAAGGCCGCGTCTGTGTGTAACTTAAGTCTTACCTCCCTGTAGTGGTACTGAACCCTTCACACACACAAACATGAGTGAACACTCTGAAAACTCTAGTATAAAAGATAAAGCTGCATTCATTGCTTTGTTAGCAAAACACAATGCTAAGCCCTCCCCAGCTGGGGAAGAATGGGCTCAAAATAATTGGTTCAACCTGGAAAATGTAACTGATAGAATTTGCTCCCTGCAACATGAGGCAAAATTCAAATTTGGCCGTAATAAAACCATAATTTGTTCTGTATTGGGAGCTTGCCTTACGTCAGCTGTAGAGGCTCGCACAAGACGAAGGCAGGAAGAAAATGCAATTATTGAATCCCTACAAAATTTAGTTGAAAGTCTGCAAAATGAAAATAATTTGTTACGAACTGCTTTGAGTGAGTGTGCCAAAAATTCACAGTATGCTGACTCCTTTAAGGAGTCGTTGGAAAAAGAAACTCCTCAGATAAATCACATATATTCTCAAGCAAAATTGTATTTGGTAAAAAATTGTGGTGAAAACTGTTGCTCACAAATGAGACCTTTGATTAAAACAGAATATAATTATATCAATGATGAAGATCTTGATCCACATATAACCACTAAAGAAATCCCGTACACTGCTACTGAATTGGCTAAGTTAAAAAAGGACTACGGGCATCTCCCTCACGAGTCAGAGACAGAATATGTATTTCGAGTGTCTCTCACAGGGGGAGATCAAATTTGATTATCTGAACAAGAAGAGAGTGGTTATTGGGGACATGGTGTTTTCTTAACAACAGGAGATAATCACAACCCATGGTCCCTAACACAGCGAGCTGCATATTGGGCAGGGGGACTTAACCCCCTGGAAAGGGGAGATCCTGTAGCTCTAACTGGCTCCCCAGACCAAATTCTTGAAAACATTCATAAGGCAGCTTGTCTACAACTGATTCATGAAAGAAAATTAATTGTTGGTTATGAATCACCAATTTTGTTACCTGTGAAAGCTGAAATTATGACCCCTTTAATTTGTGGTCTTCCAGAATCACTGAAACCTACAGCAATTCTCCTCCAAACAACCATAGATGATATCCTTGTGGGAGGAGATGAAAAGGAAGTAATAAAAAATAAAGATGCTGAAAAGAGGTACACTACCTGGGAAAAGGGATTGTTGGTAGTTAATCCAGCTCTCATAAAAGTAGAAAAAATTACACAACAACAACCAATTGCATTAAAAGGCCCTTTTGAAATTACTAAGACAGCCACTACTGGGACTCTCCACCCTGACGGGGTGGCCCAGAGGGCCTCAGTGAGAAAGTGGTATGCCCAGATTGAACATGACTCTAACATCTTCTCAATAACAGAAGGAGCTGTAAAAAATCAGGTGATACAAAAAACTGAGAGCTTAAGTAGCAGCCATGACAAACCTGACTTGATAATTAAAGAAACCCCTCCCAACATAAAAACAGAAAAGGGTAGGCTGATTTCTAGCCTACAGTATTGGTGGAACTTGGGGGTGAAGAAAGAGGTACCAAAGGGTTTAATGGTTAACCTGCCGCTTAAAAAATTAAGTAAATTGGTCTCTCAGTGGCAGGATTCCAGCCCCATTGTACCAAGCGCTCCACCTCACCCTCAACTGATTCTGGGCAGTGGGCCAAAGCAACACCACTCACAGGTTCTGGACAGTGAGCAAAAACAATCAGCAAACTCTTCGTTCACTGATACCTCTGCCAAACGAGAGGGAGAGGTGTGGAAATGCGGGGCAGTAGCCCTCCACCTTTCCTCTGCTGAACAAATCATTACTGAGGAAGAAAGCAGCACTCAGACTGCAGAGCTGATAGCTGTTTGGAGTGTTTTCCAACATGAGGTACAGAATACCTCTCCTGTCTGTATCTACACTAACTCCTATGCTATGTTCAAGGGATATACTGAGTGGCTTCCTTTTTGGCAACAAAAGGACTGGGAAGTAAACAGAATTCCAGTATGGCAAAAGGAAAAGTGGCAAGAAATTCTACGCTTTCTGCTGGTAAGAGTGGGGATTATATCTTGGTTAGTCCAAACTGAAACTTTTAAAAGAACTACAGGAGAATATTCATGGGTAACCTCCGATGCCCTGGGGATAGAGCATTGGATAAACACCCATTGGATAATTCCATCATTTTAATCTCCTGCCCCTATGTGGCAGACTCTGTTTTGTTTATTTTCTACAGAAGAACACCGAGGGACATGAAGATCAGATAAACCATGAACTTACAGATTTAAAATAAATGCTGTAACAAAGCCTATATTTAGTGTAATAATCACATACCATGGTGTGAATACCCCTTTTTGTGCTAAATGACAAAGCTAATATTTTCCCTTTCTTTTCTGTTAACTCAAGGTGATGATGTTTCAATACGCTGCAGACTGAGTACCGGATCCCATACTGAGCCTGTACACAGTCAAGTTGCCGGATCTCGTGGCCAGGTTATATCTTGTGAAACTCGGAATCAAGATTGTTGGCTGAATTTAACGGCTGTACAATTGTCCTCCAAAGTCGTGTGTGGTAAAAACAATACCAAATATTGGGGAGAGCTTAATGTTCAGGTTGTACTACCTACCACACAGCCACCAATTAGATTGACTCCAAAAATTTCTGTCTATGTAATAGAAATTTCTTTCTATGTAATCAGGAAAACTGGCCAACAACAAATGCTATTTAATCCAGCATGGTCTATCAAACAAGTCAAATTACTAATGCAAAACAATGTCTCAGAGATTCAGCCAGCTTGTTCACCTTTTTTGCAAACTTCCTTTGAGGGGTGGACAACCTGGTTGCGAAAGCGAAATTCTTTTCACAAATGGATGACAAGAGATATAACCGGTGTCGTGGGATCAGGACTAGGAATTTTGAATAGTATTGATTCAGAAGTATTGATGAATAAATTGGCTGTTGTAACTAAAGATTTGACCAAAATACAACAACCACTGAGGTCATCTTTAACTGCTTTGGGAACCCAACAGTGGCTGCTATCAAACATATTACCAAATTGGGAAAGGGTAAACATAGATGATCACAAATTAATAATTGATGCACTCAGTGCTACCCAAAACAATGTTTCTCTGGCTCTTAGCTGTATTCAAGCCCAGTTGTGGATGCAGTCATTTGATGCATCAATTATCAGAGAGGGTGAAGAAGGCACCTTTCCCACTGAGATTCGGAAAATAGTCTGGGACAATGCCAATGATTTTGAAAAGGAATTTCAATCTTGGTGGAATTTGGTAAATTTTACCTACGATCCCACCACAAACACAGCCACAGCTTTTGTGTTGACAATACGTAATGCTTCAGTACATTCAATCTTTCCTATCATTGCATTGGGGCTGAATCATGACGGAGCTGTTCTCTATCCTTTAGAGCATAGGGAATGGGCCCGTCAGATTGGTGGGAAATGGCAAACTGTTGGTTTAGAAAATTGTATTGTCCGGGAACAACAAGGGTTTATCTGTGAAAGTAATGCAATCAAAGCTCAAGACATTTGTTTAGACACGGAACAGAATATCTGTCATTTTGAAATCCATCCTAATGACACTTCTGAAAGAGTGCTTGTGTATGTAGGCAATGGATGTGTATGCTTGAGAACTGCTTGTGATAGTATGCTTGTAGAAAACATAGTAGTGGATACTAAGAATCATTCAAATTTTTGTGTATGCAATTTTACTGAGATTATAGGTTGTGACTTTTCTTATTTAGCTCTAGTTACTTCATATTATCTTTTGCAGTATAATTACACTTTGATTCATCGTTTAGTGCCTGCTCCAATTGGAATGAACTTTACTCTGGAAGCAATTGTTGCTTCACCAGGATTTAATCGAAATTTTGGAAAAGATCAAAAAGGATGGACAAAAGACCTTAGTTACGGTTCACCACAATGTGAAAGGAATACATCGTGTTCTGAAAAGAGTAAGGAAAGATGCTGAACACAAGTGGTGGGACACTCTTTTTGGGTGGTCACCAACTGCTACAGGTGTTTTGAACAAATTGTGTCATCCCATCATCGTCCTCTTGATTTTAGTTTTACTTGGTTTTGTTCTATCAGCAATTTTGTACATCCTGAATTGGAGAATGATGAAGAGGTTGACACAATTGACTGCCATAATGGATGCACACAACATGATTGGTACTTTACATGTTGCTGATACCCCTAAGGTTATCGATACTCGATGAATTATGCAGGCACTACAATAAATAATT